TAATTCCTGGCCCCGAAACCTTGACTCAGAAGTACCGGGTTGGTGTCCGGCGGGGGATAGTTTTCAACCAAAGTTTTAACTGTTGTTTATTTTGTTGTACTGTGATGGTTACTTTTGTTGATTGTTATTGTAATATGTGTTTGCAGGACCATATTGTAAAACAGCGGTAAGATCTCGCCTGTATATGTTATCCTGCCTAAAGATGTTTTAAATAAATAAAATAAAATAAAAATAAAACTTTGTATCCACTTTCTCCAGCTCTGTTTTTGTTTGTAAAACATGGTGAGTGATGCTTAAAATAGATATATATACCGTACTCAATAAGTGTTTTAATTTATTAAACTAAACTGATGTTGAAAATTTAACGTAGCACAACCGTCTAGCAAAAAATGGGGATTTCCCTAGGGCTGTCTAGAGCAAGAATACGTCGTTAACATGGTGGTAGCCAGCAGTTTACACGCATTTCCAGTTGTTTGTTGTTTAATAATCGGCCGAAAAAGATGAAATTTCTTTATGTGAACATTTATAAATAATTATGTCAATGTTTCCAAAATAATTTAAAACTTTTTTGGAACGGTTTGGAGCTTAAAAATAGGTGCAGCTTATACACAGGTGACACAATAAATCGTGATATTTCGCATCCTAATTTGCAGGGGGGGGACGGCTTATACACAGGTGCGGCTTATACACCGGAATATACAGTAAAGCTTCAGATTAGTGGAAAAGCATGAGATTTTAGAGGAGAGGCTTGAGAGCTTGAGGTTTGTTCAAAAAGCGTGAGGTTCATGCCGGATGCGTGAGACTTGGTATGATATAGGCCTAATAGTATATTGACTATATATTTTTTATTTATTTTCTAGGGTATAGGCTCAAGAATGAGATAAAATCACCTAACCTTTTTTTAAGAGGGGTAAAACCTTGAATTTTGAAGAAATTAAAGCCTAAAGGTCATTAAAAGACACCTCAGAAGTCGGGAAAGCTCATTTCCGGCCATCTAGAAATCAAAATTTTCCAGGGACCCCCATTTCATTGTTCGCTTTATGGAAAAATGAACCCCCTCTTTCAAATTCTGGATCCTCCCCTGTGATTTGTTAAAATTTGTATTATTTGTTTAATTATTTAATTATGATATTTGTCAATATTGTGCAAAATTTAAATATTTCTTTCACAAAATTAAAGAGAGTAGCTCTTACAGCAAAAGGCTGATTTGAAGAGGCCCAAATAATAATAATAATTATAATGTCATTTTGTTAGGCGCACGTATCCATCCCTGGTAGGGGTGCTCGCGGCGCCGTTTTCCACCTGCCGAGTGTACATGTACATTTTCCGCATTATTATGTGAATTAATTAATTTCACTTAACCTTTTTTTAAGAGGGGTAAAACCTTGAATTTTGAAGAAATTAAAGCCTAAAGGTCTTTAATTTCACTTGTTACCTGTATGTATGGAATTCTATAAATTGCATACCTCCCAGCAGCTGATACTGCTCATGACCATGTAACAACCTAACACTACAGAGGAGGATAATCAAATTTTGTTCTTACCTGGCAAGCATTATACAGTAACTGGTGCTCAAACTTCTTTACTCCCAGAATGTTTTGAAACATTTCATATAGCTGTTCCTTACTCAGAATAAGCTCCGATGCAGCTGTCGTTGAAAGCCTTTGTGGCTGTTTCCGTTGATCCTCTTCTCCACGGTAAATAGCATCAAATTTTGTCATCCAAGAACTTAAAACTGTCTCCTTGCTGAGGCCGTCAATCTCTGGAAGGCTGCGCACACGTTTTTCAACATTATTCTTAAACACTTCACGGAAGTCATTGGAAGAGCATCCTCCACTATTTACCATCTTTAATACTCTATCACTTTTCAGAAACACTTCATAGTAACTTTGAACAGCATTGCAAAATGCTTCATCAGCAACTATTTGTGTTTCCCCATTGAGAAACGTTTGAAAGCGATCTTTTATTATCTGTAACTGCTGCCGTGTTACCTTGGTTTGACGCCTTACCATGTCCGTTGGTTGTTTAGCATTAAATGGATAGGCGATACATCGCATCACAAAAACGTACAGCTGCAGCCTACGTTTATGTTCCTCTTCCTCTCTTAACGCTCTCTCTTCTTCTCTGCCGGCCGGTTCACTACTTGTACTTACAGACTGGCTAGGACTGGAAGGCCTCCCACTTCCACTGCGATCGCTCAATGAGCGGGTGTGTACAGTGCTGCCCGAATGAGCTACGACTAGGCTATCGTTACTAGATGCGCTCACACCCTCCCTGAAGTTCTTCTGGTTGGAATGACCAAATCCTTCATCGGTAAAGTCTTCACTTTCAGATTCATCTTCGCTTGATGATGACTTCAACATCGCTTTCTATTCCCTTTGATAAACCTGTTTGAATGATGTATTTAATGGGGTTTTTTCTCCTTCAATATGGCTTATAATCTCTGATGTGGTACCTCTGTCACTGTCATGGTTGCATGATAAGATGATATCAATGAAAATCAACACGGATGTTTTGTATAATGTACGCATGCGCGCGAAGATTTCGTTTTTCTTCGTTTTGTCGCGTCTCTCTATGGTTTTGTAGACACCCATACTATTGATAAAAGACCCTAGATAAGCCCCAATTAAAAAAAAAATATTAGTTTATCACCCTCGCTCGCATGTCTTCTGTGGTACTTAAAAAACAAAATTTTAAAAGAATTTTTTTTCTTAAAAAAACAATTTTTTGTGAACAAAATTTTCTCTTTTCATTATTTTAATTAAGTAGTATAGATTGTTTGTATTATCTCGATCATATTTTACTTTGAATATCAATGTACCAGCAAACAACCCAACGGTGATATTTGGCTTCAGAAAAAATAAACAAATTTATCACTTTTGCAGCATAGATAAGGTGATAAACTAATAATAGGCCTAGGCCTATTTTTTATAGGGCCTAATTTAAAACGTTTGGTGTATACGAAGACCAAAGACCCAAAAAATGAGGAACCCCTCCCCATCTCCTTGTCTCTCTTTTAATGAAAATATATCACCATCATAAAATCAAAATTACGAGATTATTTGATCTGTGAAATTATCAAGGGTCTTCGTTTAATAGACACTTTGGTTGCCTAAACGAAGACTGGACAATGACCTGAAAAAAGAAACCTCCATTTTTTTTCTCCAATAGAGTATCTGTTTGTCAATATTTCGAAATCATCATAAAACACTCCCTCGCTCTTTCATCATTTACACGGAAGTAATATGAATAATATCAAAAAATAATGAAGGTCTTCGTTTTATAGACACACTGGGTGACGTGTATAATTCGAAGACCGATGAAAACCGGAAAACTCCCCCTCCACGGTTTTCCTCTTACTTTTAATGAAAATCAGGAGTATCACAAAATCAAAGGTTCTTCGTTTTTTAGACACCAGGTGCCTATACCTTTAATTAGGCCTCGGTATCTCATCCACCCATGTTGGTGTCACTACCAAATAACCCGGAGGCGGATGAAGGGGATGAAGTAGA